GAGGACCAGGAGACTGAGTTTGTCTGACCTCTCACCATTCCTCAGCTGGCGTGCTTCTGGTGCAGATTTTCCTTCTTTTCAAATATATTGCGGCACAATAGCTGTGTTTTCCACCTCCAGCTATGTATATTTATGATGAGGCAAAAAGGGCGCTTGTCTCTAGATGGTAAGTCGACCAAGTGCTCCCTTTATATGCTGAAGTAATAGTCGTATGTGAGTGCTAGAAAGAGTATTCAGTAGAAATCAGCATTTTGGTAAAAACAAGCAAACATCAAGAAGCAAAGAAAAATGACAAAAGCAGTACGCCGGTACGGCGTACCGACGCTTCGCTATCACGCAACGACCACCAGTCGCGCGTGGGTAAAGGATGTATGTAATGTAATCTCAGCAGTCTATCAACTAGACAAAGAGCCAACAGAAAACCATGGAGATCAGCAAATAAGCAAGTCATCGTGGCATGCTAGTTGAAGGTGAGCAACACACTTCAGCTAATATGCAGCAGGAAGGATGGAACATTTTGACAAAAAGTAGAACAAAACATTTTTACTTTGTTTTTCAAACGCTGATTTTGATCATTTTTGTCATTTTCAAGGTTTGTAGTATTAAATATGTGAATCAGTACAATTCTGTACACAATGCTTCCACTGACTCCGGTTGCGGGCCATGTCTACAACAGTGTTAAGCCATTGGCACTCCTCATATTTGTGTCCCCATGCTGGAAAACGTATGGATCCAACAGCGGCTAGACACGACGTCAGCGATTTCATGTGCTGCCGCCAAGTGGAAGGCTGACCACCACGCGGTCGCCTCCAGCCAAGTCCTTGACGAGCGAATAGAGCGTGACGCAGTAGACGCTCAGGTGCCATGCGTAAGACCTGACCGAGCCATGTTAACTGGCGCAACAAAACCAGCTTGTTGAAGGGAATACTCGCATTCCCCAAGATGCGATGTCGAACGTCATTACTGGTAACTTGATGTTGCCACCAAACAAGAGCGATCCTCCTTAAGCAATCGTTATCGAAGGCAGAAAGACGACGCATGTCTTCCACGCGAATCGACCCAGACTCGCACCCATACAGTACTGAGCGAACTGACGCGCTGTAAACGCGGCCCTTTAGTGAGAATGAGACGTCGCAACGACGCCCCAAGTGCCGCAGATTGACAAATGCTGATCGAGCTTTAGCGATACGAGGAGAAACTTCTTTGTTGATAGTGCCGTCAGCAGAAACACAGCTCCCAAGGTAGAAGAAACTATCTACCTGTTCAAATTGTGCACCTTCGAGAGTGAGCACGGGAGCAGGTGAAAGCCAATCCTTAAGCAGTACTTTACATTTCCATGGGGCGTAGCTCATGCAATACTTGGATGTTTAAACCGTCAAACGATCCAGAATGAGTTGCGTACCTTGAGGATCGTCTCCAAGTAAGGCGATATCATCAGCATAATCTAAGTCGGTCACGCGCTCACCCCGTAGAAGTTCTAGACCAAAATGTTGGAAAACTTCTAGAGCATTTGACAAAACCTCTTCAATTGCGAAGTTGAAGAGGAATGGGGACATACGGCAGCACTGTCGCACACCGCTATTGACAGCAAATTGCGAGGAAAGCTAACCATAGACCCTTACTATGCCGAATCTATTAAGGTAAAGTGCTCATGAGATGGCGGTATATTTCTCTGGCACCCCGCTCTTTAGCTAGCAAAGCCATAAACCAGGTCGATCAACGGAGTCAAAAGCGGCACGTATGTCTAGGAAGGTAACGATAGTGGGCCTGTGATAAATGTGACGATGTTCGAGGAGCTGGCGGGGTGTGAAGATTTGATCCACGCATCCGTGGCCAGGACGGAAAACAGCTTGTTCTTCACGGTAGTATGATCCACGTATTGGGGATAGTCGACGGAGCAGAATGGATGCCAATATCTTGGAGGCAACCGAAATAAAACTAATCCCGCGATGATTTGCACATGAAGTGCGAGCGCCTTTCTTGAAAATCGTGACAATAACTGATTCGCCCCAAGAGGAAGGCACTTTCTCTTCATGCCAAATTTTGGCGAACAGCGCGGTCAACTGTATAATAATCGCCACACCGACGTACTTGAATAGTTCCGGAGAAAGTCCGTCTAAGCCGGCAGCCTTAAAGCGCTTCAAGCGTCGAATCTCTAGGCAGACTTCACTTCACTGGGTGGATTCAGTGGGAAGAGCCAGGGTGGACAACAAGGTGTACTGCATGTACTGATGGATGGTGGAGGCCAATTGAACTGCGAGTGAAAGTGCTCGGTCCAGCGGTCCATACGCCTTTGTTGGTTGGTGATCGGTGACTCATCCACCTCACAAATGACCCCACTGACACCAGGCTTAATGAGGCTAGTGGACCGAATGAGCTGGAAAAGCCTGCGAGTGTTGCCAGAGAGGGCAGCGGTCTCCATCTCTAAAGCACGCTCAGATCACCATGTCTCGCGATCCTTGCGTAGGCTTTGCTTGAGCAGCCGGTTGGCAGAACGGCGCCGCTCGTTGCAATCTGATTCCGCGGGGATATCTTTGCGGCGTTCGAACAGCTCCAGAGAACGAGCAGAGATCCAAGTCTTCAAGGGGTGTCGACTTAGGCCGCAGCATGACTGTCCGGAAATAGTCATCGCTTTCCGTATACAAGTCCAGTGTTTCTCCACGTCTTGCGGCGGACTGCAACTGAGTGCATATGCTAGTGAAGTCTGATAGCTCGCCTGGACAGAGGAATCAGTTGATCTTGGTACACCAATCTTGCGGTGCTTCGTGTTTCGGGATCCTTCAAAACACAGGTTTTCGCGCAGACCAGAGCATGATCTGAGTCAAGGAAGGTGGACCAAAAGGATCTGCAGTCCAGTACGCTGCCACACCATCTGAAGCTAACTGCAATGTGATCAATTTGAGACCACGGTTGTGTTGAAGAAGGGGGACGCCACGCTGAGGAACGCTTCTTCGTACGCCTGAAGTTGGTGCTCGAAAGAAACAGAGGGTTGTCTTCGCACAATGTGAGAAGCCTCTCTCCGTTATCAGAGCGGTTCTCATCGAGCGCGTGATGACCACCAAGGTGGCGTTCGTATGGTAACAGTCGGCCAACCCGTGCATTAAAATCCCCAGCAAGGATAACGACATCCGACATTTTAGCATTAGTCAAGAGCTGTTGTAGATCCCATAGAATTCGTCCTTGACCGAGCAGCCACTGCAGTCAGTTGGAGCGTACACGGAGATCACAAACAAGTTATGTCTCTCTTCGCGTTGCTTGTTGATTCTACATGAACCCCGAAGCCGAACTGCACATAGTCGGCTGTTAATAGGGAACCAATTCAGTAGTGCCGCCTCGGCCTTGCCACTTAGTGCTATACCTACGCCAGCCAAACCCGCTGAGGATGCTTCTGTATCTCCAGTAAGACGCAAGTGATATATGGCTTCGTGGTCAGTGGGGGATGTCAATGTAAGCACAGTGCTAGGATCTTGCAATCGGATTTCTGAAAGGCAGCAGACATCAATGTCTAGGGAAACTAGGGTGCGCGCTAGACCGGCTTGCTGTCCATTCTGCATGAGTGTCCGAACGTTGAAGCACGGCAGACAGAACGAGCATGGGGGACGAAGGAGAGCCATAGGTTGAACTCCTTGGTCTGCGGCGCAACCGGAATCGCAGCCAGATTGTTGAACACATGAATCCGGGTAACTGAAAGTGAAGATTGTTAACAAACAAACAAGTGGCGTGTGATGAAGTCGCGTGAAAGTGAGAAGCAGAAACAGTAGCTGATGAGCACGTTGTAATACAGTCCATGGTTTTGTGAGAGGGCGTGATACTACTCGGCTGTATAAGCCGAAGTAGGGAGTTGGCATAGGGGACTCCACCCGAGCCGTTGACTAAATAACCTACCCACAAGGCAGCGGGGCGGATTTAGGGAATCGTGCCCATTGGGAGGCGTTGACTGAATGTTCAGTCCATGCGTCTTTGTTTGGTAGATTACCAAACAGGGGCCCAATACTCCCCATGAAATCAGCACAATTGCTGGAATACCATGCCTCACGGAGGTGGGACATTGTCGCCGAACACTTTTCTGGAACGGGGTACACCCGAACCACCCAGCTGGCACCACGAGGTAGTTCGGCAAGCCAGAAAGGGTCAAGGATACTGCGAGGGTCACCCGGTCCCCTACGCAGGATCGAAGGCATGACGTTCGGGTTGCAAGGCTGACGCAGTCCTTTAGGCCACCAGTCTGGAGAACCAAAAAAACCACTACCTACTTACTAAAAGCTCAATAACGCCACGCGGTGTTTCGCCTACCTAGGCGAGAGCCCCGAGATGGGCCACATCAATGACCGCTCTTTCTGATATGGCACAATCATGGAGTCAGTCGGTCCCCTACTTCTGGCACTTGCCTACTTTACGTGGTGAATTTGTATTTTGCTTATTCCTTTATTTAAATCAATACTACTATTATTATCGCCATCATTAGTATGGCTATGGCTACGTGGGACATTGCAACCTGATTTATCACACTACGGCACGCGGACCTCAGTTGATAAAATGAACTGAAGCAAACCGAGCGCGATGCCTCTACTCATGTCGGATAAACCGGTTAAGTATTGCTAGCTATTAACGTTAGCTGGATTAGACGCTATAGGGAGTGAAAGTTTCAAAGTCGGTCTCGGTGAGGCATTGTCTGCAGATATCTGCCAAAACGTCGGATTTCTCCGTCAGGTTCGGAAATCGTTTGGACAGGAGTCCGATTTCAAGCGGAATGGAACAGAATCCGAAGTATCTAACGGCCGGTTATTTGAACCGAAATGTGAGTACCGGTCTGTCAGAAAGACTTGAACGATGGTGCCACACGACTAAGCTAAAAAGACGTATGTAAAGACCAATACACTAAACGAGCCCAATGACAGCAACCTTGAATGTGCTGAGGTGAGTAATAGTGCACAAAAACCAGTAGCAAATGGGACAAAAGAAACCAAAATGTGCATCATCAAGCGTAGGATTAGACTCACTGGAATTTTTTTCGCTTTTCTTTCTGAGTGAGCTTTCCATATTTGTGGTGCCGCCACTATTGTCGCTCGTCGCCTGCATGGCAGACCGCGCTTGGGTTGTGGTTGTCGGGACTTGATCAGTAGAAACTCTAGCGCGCAGTTCTTCTTCTTTGCGACGCAATTCTAGCTGAACGCGTTGTTCATCCTCCTAGATTAAAAACGAATGTAAGCCAGGATGACCTTTTAGTTAAGCGGTAAAAAAGAAAAACCCCGAAATTCCGCAGTATCAGTAAAACTTAGAGTCAAGGGGCAAGCGGATTAGTTGGAATCCAATGCACGTCTAAAAGGTACGTGAGTTTCCGTAATACAGCAGCTAAAAGGAGTAACCGAGCAAAAGACTGATGATCTTAAACTCCGAAAGGCAACATAAGTAATGACCTTTGGGTCCGAAGTTCACAATGTCGAGACTGACTTCACAATAAAGTTAGGCAATTGAGAGTGAGCATTGATTTAGGAATTAAGGGTTGCCTCTCCAAATATTGCATACCATGAGCAGCTCGTTAGCATTGTTACCAAGTGGTTGATTCCAATCAGTGGTTGTGGATTCCGGACAAACGTTGATCGCGCTTATAACGAGACTGGGATTGAACGGGAAGGCTGTGTGTGAAAGACTTAATAGAAAATTTCGACAAACCCTACCGAGGTTGATACTTTGCTATGTCAACAAGTGTATCTGGCCATACGCGTTCATCGTCCTTCAGACTCCACCAGGGAATCCAAGTCTAAACCTAGGCAAAGTTCGAAGGGTCTTCATTTCTCCTGACAAAGATATAGGTCAGCCTCTCCACCACTTCCATCCAAGCCCTGGTCGCGCAAACGCAGAGCGCGGGAGTCAGTATGTGTATAAGGTAATACGACTCGGCCATCGGAGCCTGATGCATGAAATAATGGTGCTGAGCTCCAGCTGGACAGTGGTCGAGGTATGGAGCGTTCACCTTGTAACCCGGTCACCGGTTCGTCTCTGTGTTGGTGTGGGTGACCTCGCTGTATCCGCAGCCCGCGAGTGACTGGTAATCGCGTGGCGACGAGGTGTTGGTGCAGCACCACGACGTACCGCTGACGTTTATTTCACTTTTCTAGATAAGACACCAATGGTTCGCTATCGTTTAATGGACAGGCAGTGCCAAAATCCGACACGATCAACAGTCGAAGGCGGCTTCCATGTCAAGGAAAACCAACAGTCGTCTGTAGGTGTCACTTCTGAGGTAACAATTGAAGAGTAAATAGGTGGTCGATGCAACCACGACTAGTGACGCGGGTCTCACGGTGACAGGGCTCTAGCCGAAATTGCAGTGAATCGGTGGTTAATAATTCCCAGCTAGTGTCTCACAGAAGTCCTTCTTGAACCCGTGCGCGATGTATATTCATGTCTATTTGCCAGTGTGATAAGATGGATTGGCGGCATCGGTAAGTGGATTTGCCTGCGCCTACAGAGGGACTATGGGTGGTTTGCGCTGCAACACTCACAGTTCCACCCACACGCCCCATATCCGGTGTGAACCCGAAGGAATAAGACCAGGAAGCATATGGGTGGGAGCCACGTTTCATCGACGGAGCCGGCCCACACTCCTTTAACAAACAGAGCGGAAGCATTCATGCTTAAATGATAAACCATGTGTACCAGACGTATACAAGGCGGTGGCTGGACCGTAGTCAGCTCCACACTGAGTGCATGGAACCACTCTTTAGGCCTAGCACGACCAGGAGTACCTTGCACCCCCCCCCCAGAAACGATTCGCAGTCTTCTAGAGCCATTAATCGAGGTGGATGGTATTAGAAAGGAAGGCACCTTGTCAGCATTCACATCAAGCGCAGCCACACCGGGGATATCAAATAGCCAACATAGAACTCTAAGGAAAATAAACACGCAAAATTGACACAGATTATGAAGCAGAAGAACAGAAGTGAACAAATCAAATAAAGTGAAATACTTGGTATCTAGATTACGGATAGGTAATTTAGGTGTAAGTCGGCGTAGCCCAATCGCGGTGAAGAAGCATGATGTATGCGGTATCAACCTCAACGATAAGTGTCTTTAAAACAGTAATTGAAGTGAAAGGAATAAAGTACTGTTCGATACCGAGAGGATTAGATGCGACAAGTTGTAGGCATATAACACTCCGGTTTGCCATTCTGAGGCGTTTGTTCGATGACTTTTACCTCTAACTGTCGACTCAATAGCATGATGTACAAGTTAGCACAGCAAATGATTTCTTCGAAGGACTCAACTTGGAGCTATTAAAGCAACAGGGAGAAATGGTCCCGCAGTCGCACTGAAAACTGTTCGAAATTGGTCTTCACACCTGCAATCACGGTCAACTGAAAGTGAGCTTCAGTGAGTATGCACCTTTTGACTAACGGATGCATGTTTTCAGGCAGGTGGTAATAGATCAATGAGCGAGGGCAGTGATCTCCCGTTGCCATAGACAAGCAGTGACTCTCGCCAATATAAATGAATGTATAACCCATAACCGTTGTTTTTTATGGCTACGTTCCGAAGAGAGCCGTACTCCCCAACCTGATCCTCGGCAAATAAGATGAGGAAACTGGATTAGTTCGACCCCTAATGACTGCGCTGGGTACGAGTGGCTCTGGGTATTCCGCCTAGCTTAGATCACAGAGGCGCACAAACCATCGCAACACGTAAGGTCTAGTTCGGTTGCAACGGCCATATAGACGTGGCAATAAACTAACCTAGGAGAAATGATTTGCAGTCCAAAAGTAGCTTGCAGTGAGTACCAGGGAACCACCACAATCTACCGAAACTCACCAGGTTTCTAAGTGGTCTGCTCGTACTTTTGTTAGTATAGCCCGCCGCAAGATGTCTTCTAATTCCAAAGAGTTAGACATAAGGTGTGTTGCCGCAAAGGTTAACATCGGCATTCGCAGAAGTATGCACTTAATTTGCACCGATGCTTCCGAACAAATGACTAAAATCGAAGAATCAAATCCATGGAAGAACAAGAGAGGTGAAATGGAATCTAGTGTAGTACCGAAGTTTGTTGAACAGACTTAGGTATAAGGCGCCAGTCATGCTGACACAGTAATCACAAATAGACGGCTAGGGCTTGAGGATAAAGCGGTATTGGTAAGATAGATTAAGTACAATTTTTGTGCTCCGCGTTGTGGTCAGCCTTACAGGTGATTCAACATCGTATAAACTTCACGGAGACAGTGTGACTAGGGGAGGATATTAAACGTTGCTGGTGCTAGTCAAGTGCTAAGCCCAATAACTTCAGGAGGTGGGTGCACTTTGGAACTACACAAGAGCAAAGGTTCACAGAGTAGCCCGAATGTGCGTCACGTGCGATGGATAGCCTCAATACATTCGTAGTAAGAATTGAGGAAAATTGCACACGAGGCCCATTGCCTTAAACTGTCACCATGACTAGCTGAGTAAACATTTTCAAATTGCTTAACAAATGCTTGACAGCAGAAGCCAGGTAAATCAGAGTGCTGGCTAATGGAAAAGGAACGAAGTAAGAACGCTCAGGTGCCTCAAAAAGCCATTTTAGGAGCTTGGGTTTGAAAAGGCTTACAGCAGTACACATGCAGTTTGTGTTTATGCCTAACTGCCATGCAACCACAAACAGCCGTATGTGGGTTAGAATACTGTTAGTGCATCCTACCTTAAGCAACACTGTGCGTTAACAGTTGTTGCGACACTACAAACGAGAGATAACGCATGAGACCAGAAATCATGATAAAATACCTGACGCTTGAGTATCTCCGTCTTTTTCGCCTCCAAGAAGGCAGCAGGAACGCCGTCAGGATTATCCATTGCAGATAGAAGAAGATCCCAAAGTTCTGTGAGAAATATTCGAGCATTTTTGCTATTTAGGAAGCCCGTTATGTTGATCTGTATTTCCTTCGGGTCGGGGTGCTGGAAATGGAGAATGCGTTTATCGACGATGCACACGAATATAAAATGAATATAAAAATAAAGGAATCAAATTTAATGTGCACGAGTGTAATCTGAATGGTGTACCGGCAGCGCACTCAGTGCGTCGCTAGAGTTGTGACATCCACGGTTGCTGGGGGTCAGCTCGACGAACCTGAAAATTCAATCGAAATTCATTTTTAAATTACGAACAGACGTGGCAAAAATAGGCAAATCAATCGAATAAGCTAACAATCGCATCAGCCTAAAGTAACGTTTCGCGTTCGCTACGCTTTGTGACCAGAAAACTGGGATCGAAGAGACGTCCAATTCTCTGGTTGACATCGGAAGCAGTAGACTGAGGAAAGATTTGTTGGTACGAAATATGCGTTTCAGAACTAGTAGACATGTGGGAAGAAACTAAACGGTGTGAAGCAGCTGATAGTGAACTAGTATGGAGTTCAAGAAACGAAAAGCTTGTGTTGGAGCAAACTACATAATTGGAGTAAAAATTGTATGAATTAGTGGGAGCCGTCAGTTTAGAAAATCGTTGCTATTCCTCGAAAGCACACAAAAAAGGAAAGATGCAGACAAAGCATCTCATCGTTGATGCCGAATGCAAGTGCAAGAAGCTGCTATCGTAGAAAATGACAATCAGGAATTTGAAGTCGACGTGATAGTGAGGCCGTCACTATAGGCAACATAACGAATGAGAAGTGTGGAAGGCGATGGATGATGACAATCTATTAGATCGTCGTCTGTCATTGTAACGCATACACCAAAATGTATATCGAGGAACTGGTTAAATTGGAGTCGTAAAGTACGCTAGACGCGGTCTAGTTGGATAACCTGAGGACCAAGTATCGGCATAAGACGATAGCATAATTGGAAGTTTAAACGGGCTCCGATGACTATCTGGAGGATTGGCAAAGTATATGAGGTACCACGGATATTAGATACGTCATAAGAGGAAGAAATGCCTACTTCTGGTTAATGAAATCAGAAGGGAAAAGCCTACTTCATCAAAAACGAGCAGATGCGTCGCGTGATGTACTGTTACGTCCAGCTCTGCGCAACGAGTAGTAGTAGTAGTAATCTCAAGTCTATCATCTAGACACAGAGCCAACGCAACCAGCCAACGAGCGCAACTAGCAAGAATGACTTAAAAGGCAAATCTGGACATAAACCACATAACCGTAACGCGCACCCAATGGTGGGACTCGCTCAAAATACTGCACGCCGGTGTGAGAAAAAAGTAAGCCGGAAGACAACTAGGCCGAAGAATGATCGCAAGCAAATGGGACTCACCCGTTCTTCCAGCTGGTTTAAGACGTAGTTACAAACCACTTCATCTTCGAAATTAAGAAGCTCGGTGACACGATTGGTAACCCAAGGGCGAATACAATCCAAATTTATACGTGCCATGTCAACCTTTAAAGTAAGGAAGGTCCGGCGAAACCAACTTTCTGAGAAAGATTATCTCCAAACTTCATTGTTTTCATCAGCTTCTTCTTTTTGTCCGCGAACCTGGCATCCTGCTCTGCGCTCGTACCCTGAAAGAAATGTTGGGACGAAACAACAAACCTTGAAAAATCCAGCATCCGTCATGGTTGATCAACTCCGCCAAAATGAGCTGGTGCGTTAATTGATTAATTAAAACAATATATGAACGAATGCTTTTAATACATATAAAAAGTTTTAAACTTAACGCCACTGTACTGTTTGTGATGTTATGCATGGTCAGTCCATAATAAAGCGAGCTTTAAAACAACACCTTTCTGTGCAATACAATGTTCATATTCCTGTGAAGTTCGTTGGTTCATAAGGTTATTTAATGATAGACAGCAGTAGAAGTTCCGTTGTCAGCTACGCTACTTCCCGATGCTTACGATGGTTGCTGGGACCATTGCGGAGCATGGTTCCGCAGAGGACTGCAGTAGTTGTTTGGTGGGCAGAAAATGCACTGTGCACCCAGAGAGTGGAAATCCAACATTCCTTTGAAGCTTTCCGCTCACTTCGTATTGACTTCGGCCTCTGGCAAGCGGTTCCAGTCATCCGGGTGGATAGGACCGGTTCGGACCGCATTTGGAGTCGCCGCGAGTTGAAACCGTTTCCCCGGTGGCCTCGCATTGCACACTTTGTGTCGAGACGAAAGAACGGTTGCAGCTCACTTCCCAGCTCACCCCATAGAATATGTCGATTGAATAGCATTTCTCCGCGGCAGAGACTATAATCCAAAGGGAACAGGTTCAACCGTTGAATCCGTAGGGGATATCTCCCACTATTCTAGGACGGATTGCTTTTCGTGCCTTTGGACCTCCTTGATCATGTCACTGTCGGACTTGGTGGGAGGATATGCAGCAGGCTATCCGCACTCGAGAATCAGACGCATGTGCGTAGCAAACAATAGTCGGAAGCGCGTTGGAGTCAAGCGTGAGAAGACTCTCCCTATAGCGTGAAGCATTCTGTAGGCAGCGGCGACCCTTTTCTGGGTCTGCTTTGAGACCAGGAGACACAATCACCCCGAGATCCCACACCTGGTTGAAAGTTTGAGCAAGATTGCCTCGATAAGCTATGCCTCAAATGGCTCGGGATCACCGATTGAAAGACAAGCGCATTTGTCACGGTTACTGGAGAACTACCACTATTTGAACCAGTCGTGGAGCAGATCGAGCGTTGCTTGAACTCTGTCTGCATTTTCCAGACTGGACACCACAATCCACAGCTTTAGATCATTCGCGTTGCTTAAGCAGTCGGTCTGCAGTTCGGATGGCATGTCTTTGATAGAGATACTGAAGAGTTCGGGGCCGAGTAAATTCCCTGGGAGAGCTCATGGTCGTGATAACTTGATCAGAAAGCGCTTTTTCACTGTAACCTGCATGGAGCGACCGACCGGGAAACTGGAGTTCCAAGAAAGAAGTTCGCCTGTGTCGCCGATTCCCCGGAGTTTAAAGAGTAGCCTCTCATGCGAGTCCTTGCAAAACGCCTTACTGTAAGCAACAAATTTAGCAACCAGGCACGTACCAGTGGCAACCGAGTTTGCGCATTTTTCCCTAGCCACCAGCAAATTTGTGACGTGTGTACGCGCTCCTTCCATACCACGCTGGGCACAAGCGATGGACTCCACGAGATGGAGGCGAAGTGCCAGTAGCAGCATCCGTACTCTGACTTCGAACAAAATGGAAACCAGGCGGATGGGCTAATAGCTAGCTGCATCCTGTCGGTTCCAACCTTTGTTAATAGGATTAACGATTCCCACCTTCCAGGCAGTTGGAACCCGCCCAAACTTGCCGGAAACACGGAAGAGTTGATAGATAGGAAAGGCATTGCGCCTTATCACGGTCTTTCGAAATAATGAATGTAAAACCTCAAGCCCAGGCAAGGATACGTGTTTAGGTCAAGCAGTCGTTCCACTACGATGTCAGTATTAATATGCATGTGCTCTAACAGGGAAGGAGAAGTAAGCACAACGTTATCCGTGGGTTGCGTTTCGGTGGAGTAGCCAGAGGAATATTGCCGGGCCAAACGGCTAGCTTTTTCAACGTCGTTAACTAGGTCCACTTGCTCAAAGGGAGGCAAGGCAGGAGCGCCACTGCCAACCTTAGTGCTTTGTGTGAGAAATTGTTCTAGAAATTGTGTGTTCTAGAAATTGCAGCTGACAGTTCCTGTTTTAACAGTTTACGCGTTTTTCTTGTTGCAAGCATCCTTGCCCATTTTGTAGTAGCTGTAGTGAAGCTCAGATCGCATAGGTTTGAATCGCCCTCACAGTTTGCGTCTATTTTATCGTTTACCTCAATGCGTCATCCAGTTAGGAAGGGCTTTGGAGAGGGGGATGGCCTATTCAATGAGCAACGTCAGCTTGGAGTACAAGTGCTTCCACACTTCGTCAATATCGTGGTGTCCAAGAATACTCTAATAAAAAGGCTTAAGATCGTTTTCAGACGAAGTGTATCAGCAAGTCAGAAATTCCGACGGTCGGCCCGTTAGCTGTGAACAGCGAAAGGACTTGTCAACTAAATGAGACAGTACCGTGATCACAGCTACTACTGTGCTATAGAACTGAAAGCTTCGTGGTGTCTGGTGTTGCTTGAGTGAGCACCATATCCACAATATGCGGCGTCTGATCTGAACGAATACGGGTTGGCGTAGTGACATGTGGCAACAAGCTACAATGAAGAAGGTGCCACAGTACGTTAGCTTCAAATGCGTCTGAAAGTCGAACAAAGAGAAGTAGGTCCCAGTCAACAGAAGGAGCTTTGAAATACCTAACGATGACACAGTCCTTTCCTGTAGCATGCCTCCTGCTCGAGTTCACCAAGTGCTCTTAGGTTCGTGAAGGCACCCTGTAGACGACACCAACTGTGAGAAAATTCCGTCTATCATAAGCTCGCCACCCGAGGGCACCGAACTCATCGTCCTTGTCACTGACCGCTTAAACTACATGTGCTTTGATATCAGTCTTCCAACGGTCGAGTACGTCACCGCTGGATCTCTCTCCCTCCTTGTCGATCAGGTCGGAAGAGTTGGTATCCGGGTATAGACACCTCTGCATGTGCTATGCCTGTGAATAGCCAGGTTCCAGTGAAGGCCATCAGGCCAGGACGGGTCGCTAAGTACTAAACCGAATCTCATCCAATTTATTCCTTAGACAGCGCACATTGGCAGTTAATAGGCACAGTCCAGTTCCGTGCTTTACTGCCACGGGCTGACGAGAATAGGCCTCCAACGTGGTCTCGGGGTCTTCCGAACCACGCAAGAATCCACGCTATGGAGGTCTGTTTTACCACTTCCTCGGCGAGTTTGTACCTTCTGCACAGCCTTTTCAATTGTATCCGATCCTCCGGAGATAGATCACGTAGATACGCATACGGCTCACCGTTGAGGCTTGAGGTCAGTCGCAGGATCCTTGGGCATTCCTCTTCTGTTTGGCACAAGAGTTTGGGGCGGCAAATTCTGGATGGAATCTCCTGCTCCCTACCGAGCCAGGATGCCGAGAATAGGTTAATTTCTTGTTCATCTTTAAATACCAAAGAGACCAACCGTTGGAGAAGTACTTGTTTAACCAGCATGCTTGCCGCTGGGGTGGCTTTGTGCCATTCGACCGCGTTCATAATAAAGAGGCAACGGTCCCGAGAAGCCTGGCGCGCTCAGGGATGTGTGGCCTTGGAGAGGAGGGATTATCTTTGATCACTTTCCTCAGCTCAGAAGAGCTATTGAGAAAGACCTTCGTTTGCGACCGTAAAGCTGAGAGCTTAGAATTTAGTTTATCCCATGATTTGGGATTAGACTTGGCGGCACTGATGGCTGGGATTTGGCTGCGTAGGATTGAGGTCACATCTCTCTTCACTATGGATGAGTAATTCCACGTGTTATGTTTCGCCTTAGACGTAGAGGTTAGCTTCGGTGGGCGCTTGCTTGCAGCTGGGCTCAAGCTGGTTGATGTTGGAGTGGTGGCAATCACCACGACAGCATAGGTCTTGGGTCTGCTTTCCTGTCGACCCATCATCTTACTGGGTGGTAGTGATTCAATCGACGCAGCGGAGAGAGTACAGCTTCGGTTTTGGGGTTGGGTGTGGCATACCCAGACGCAGGTAGGGATATCGATGATGCGGGTGACTCATCGTCCATATTGTATATGACCACGGCGGCAGGGCTACATCTATTGAGAGGCAGGGGATTAGCCTGGTATTTGTCCTTCACTAACGGTCGACAGGTGTCACCATGGGAGCTCACGACCTCAGAGGCAGTGTGTTGAAGGCATTCATATGGAGCGTCATCGGTGTTACAGCATGAAGTGTGCAACCACCCTTTGCACAAACCGCGTTAAACAGCTTTTGAGCGTGTGAAGCGGTTGCCAAAAACTAGGTATAAGGATGCCAAAGAGGTTTGCCGTATTGATACCAATAACTCGAACATTCAGGAGCAAAATGGCATTACTATGCAAGGCAGCGAACCTATAGGTGCGTGTGCTGTTGCGGAATGGAAACAATGTTTACAAATGTATGCGATACATGGCCCCCGACAAATTGCTTGGACACGAAACAATCTGAATCAATAATTTTTCGGTAGTAAGGAGTGACTTTCAAATTCAGCCTATGCTTTTCCTTAGCGTTTCACCAATCCGTAGCGAGAACATTCAACTACAAATAATGGACGAGAAAGGAATAAGTCCGTTAACCAAATGATGTAATGTCCCAATTACCGCAATAAAACATTATAGTTTGTTGCTGTACGGAACTTATATCTTTAAAATTGTTTACTAGGCATTTAAATAAGAGAACACAACATGGTGTGTGAACGCAAAAATTCGCTCCGTTGCAATGGATGGACAGTGATTAAAGCTGACCTTTTTGATGAATGAAAGTGAAATATGTGGGGCGTATGGCTGCAAAGAACTCAATAAACTTAAGTGCTGTGTGCCCACAACCAGCGGTTAGAAATGACGGTGGATATCCTTTATCCCTGTTTTACAAACTTAAAGAAATCGTTTATTAAATAATAATGTTCACAGTAACCCGAATGAAATTCAATGCCATACGCTGCTGCCCATTTTCTAAACGTCAGTTATATATGTTTTGATAGTAATAGGTTTAGAAAATGCTCTTCCATATAGCCAGATAAAATTCAGAC